ATCCAGAAATAGAAGCACAGAAGAAACGTGATTTATTCTGTTCATGCAAAAACAAAAACAAAAACAAAAAAAAAAGACACACCGGTCAGATTAGCATTCTTCTTCAAGGCAGGGAAAGATGATGTAATAATTTATCAAATTAATAATTTTGAATGTTCTGAAGGAAAACCTGCTTCTTTAACGCTGTGACTCTGATGTCCACCAGCACAGTAATAAATAAAGAAGGGATTCATTTCCTCTCTGGGTGTGTAATCTCCTAATCCAGCCAGTTTTCTGGATTATACACTAGTCTTTTTTTCATTGCAGTGGTTACTGTTTAGGATTAATCCAGTTTGCACCATCATCTGCTCAGAATTAGTGTCAAAAGCATCTGCTGTCCAAACACACAGAATGACCCACATGCCACCCGACTCGAGTCGTAAAGTGACGGTGGAAGTGAATCCTCTGCTCTTTATGGATTATTCAGTGACTCAGGGGACCGCGTAGAGTCGTGTTATGGTGCAGGTGGACACGAGCGCTACAAAAACACGTGCATGTTCTGAAAACCTGCACACACAATCAAACTGGGAGAGCGGGGCAGGAGGATGGAGCATCGTCCTCAGCAGGTCGGCTTGACGAGATGCTCCGGACTTTAGGCCTAAATATTGAATGAAACTTTTACTCCTGCCACTTCAGGAAGCCACACGGCCATGAAAAAGTAATGGTGACAAAAGGAGTCATCATTCTCAGCTGGATGGATGTCTTCATGGCAGTTATGTAACTGTGACCGATTTTTAAACCAGGACGACAAACCTGAAGAAAACGAGTCCAAACTCAGAGATTTAACTGGTTTTATAACGCTCCATGATGAATTTAAAACAAATACACAGTAAAAAGATGAATAAATACTCCTTTTTTCACACACTTCCTGCAGCCTTAGTGTGTAAACAATACAAAACACTCACTTTAATTTCAACTCTGACAATAATTCATGGGGCAGCCTGATTATTGATTCCCAATAACTCCAATTAGCAATCTCCAATTACCGACGTTCTTATGCTCAGTTTAGAACTAACTGTTCTCTATTCCACAAATTTCTTATTTTTACCTAAAATTAAGTCACCCCATGTTTTTACTTCACTTTAAAATCTTATATTCTGGAGAAAATGGTACAAAGTTTGATTCAAGGTAGAAATGCTCATTTTTGGAGGATTTAAAACCAGTTTATTTTTCACAACTCTGTGGGAGAATATTTATTTTATTACAAGTTTACTAGATTGAAAATGGAAGCATTTTATAATAAATTTGTCATTTTCTAAATTTTGTAAATGTAATATTAGGACATTCATACATGAAACAAGGTTTGGGATAACAAAAATCGTAGTAATGTGTTGGCTAAAGTTATTAAACTGTGGCAGCCATCTTGAACCAGATTTACTATAAAAGTTAACGGCATTTGATGAACATCTGATAATTATTTTCTAAAAGATCCATTAAGATCCTACGTCCGTATGCTCTTTGTGGACTTCACATCCACCTTTAACACCATGGATTCACCAGGATCCACAACTTCTCCTCCTCCACTATAACCTTCAGCAATGGCTCCCCTCAGGGCTGTGTGTTGAGCCCCCTCCTGTTCACTCTGCTCACATATGACTGTGCAGCTGCCCATCCCGGCTGTCATATTGTAAAGTTTGCAGACGATACAGCGATGGTGGGATGCATCCCTAACAATGATGAGTCCAGCTACAGGCAAGAGGTGGAACACCTAGAAAGCTGATGCAAGAAGAACAACCTCCACATCAATGTTAAGAAGATGAAGGAGATGGTTGTGGATTTCAGACGGAGCATAAAACATAGGAGGATCTGTGGTGGAAGTGGTCTCCAGTTACAAGTACTGGGTGTGCACCTGAATGACAACCTCAGCTGGGGCAACAACACCACCAGCCTGATCAAGAAAGCTCATCAGAGACTCTGCTTCCTCAGGCGGCTGAGACGAGCTGGTTAGGGATTTATCAGCTTCAGGGTAAAAGCTGTTCCTCAGTCTAGTGGTTCTACACTTAATGCTCCTCAACCTCCTTCCTGAGGGGAGTGGGGCAAAAAGTGTGTGTGCTGGGTGAGTGAGGTCCTTCATGATGCAGATGGCTCTCTTCCTGCATCTGGAGGTGTAGATGTCTGTGATGGTGGGGAGGCTGATTCCAACAGACTTCTGTGCAGCCTTCACCACTCTCTGCAAAGCTTTTCTTTCTGCAGCTGTGCAGCCTCCATGCCACATGTTGATGCTGGAGCACAGGATGCTCTCCACTTCACACCTGTAGAAGGAGGTGAGGACTGAGCTTCCCAGACCAGCTCGCCTCAGCCGTCTGAGGAAGTAGAGTCTCTGATGAGCTTTCTTGATCAGGCTGGTGGTGTTGCTCCAGCTGAGGTTGTCATTCATGTGTACACCCAAGTACTTGTAGCTGGAGACCACTTCCACCACAGATCCTCTTGTGTTCAGGGGGGTGTAGATGTTTTTGTTCCTTCTGAAGTCCACAATCATCTCCTTTGTCTTCTTCACATTGATGTGAAGGTTATGGCGGCCATCTAGAACAGTATTTACTCCCAAAGATTATTATGGATTGTTTTCCAAGGTCTCAACTCGGTCCTACTCTGATCAACTCGATCACCATTGGTCCCATCCTCTTCCAGCTTGGGTCTTAGGACCCACTCAGCCGAGGTTCCAAGCGAGCTGAAGATGTGATGTCAGCAGACTGCAACCCATTGATTGGCAGGAGAGCGACGTCAATCATGAAAGAGTCTCCTTCACAAAACTCAAACCCACAACCTCACAACCGCAGCATTGCTTTGTGTTATTTTACTTTTTTTAAATGCATTCAAATGGCAACCAACTCTACGGTACTGAGAAGTGCACACATTTTTGTATTTGATGACTGACAACAGAATTCAGATGGCGTTAGACCAAATGGACTCAATTTACAGGCTCTGACTGAAGCAACTAAGGTTGGTCATGGCATTTTTAGAAATTGTGGCTAAGAATGATGAGTGTTTTGTGACTTTATGTCACTAATTCAGCAATTGTGGGTTGCGTTTGGCTTGGACAGATGTTTTGATTGGCTGTGCTATGACAGTCTCGCCCATAACGAGGTGGCGCACACAAAAATGGATATGTGACACAAACTGGAAAACCTGCAGTCTTTGGGACTCCTGGTAATCTGGGGTAGAGTTGGATGGGCCAATCTGAATATTGATAGTATTGATAGTAATATTAGTACTGATATTGATCGACATCAGAGTAATAGTATCACTATTTCAATGTAAGCTTTTCAGTATTGACTGCTGCAGTTTCACTGTCTGTGTATGTCCCACTGCTTCCAAGTGCCTTTCTTCTTATCAATATTATTACAGCGTCCAGTGGAGCTTTGCTCCTCCTTCGCCCTCTTCTGCTTTGATGCTGTACTGTTATCGGCCTCAAGGTCTGGTTTATTCCTGTCTAAGCATTGGCAGGCAGGAAGTGGAGTGCCATGTTGTATTTTCAACCATAAAATGCTACAATGGCAACTAAAGCAGGAGTGTGATATTCTTGTTCTGGTAAGGGCCACTAACCTGCATGTTTTACTTGTTTCCCTGCTCATCAGCAGGTCAAGTTCTGCAGAAGCCTGTTAATAACTCGCTTGATCAAAGTGACATCACTTTATTCAAATAAGTTGTGTCAAACATCTAAAATCTGCAGTAGATTGGGGCCGAGATAGGGCAGCTAACTTGGAACCAGAAAGTTGCGGTTCAACTCCCAGCCATTCTCACACGTTGCGGTGTCTCTGAGCAAGACACCTAATCCCCAATTGCTCCCTGGGTGCTTACATAGTTGCTGCTCCACCTGGGTGTATCTCGTGTGATGGGTTAAATGCAGAGAACTAATTTTGCCATTGTATGAGAACATACAATG